CAACTACGGCATTTACAACCCTGCATTCCCATGTGATTCTGAGTTGTCTTTGTACTCCCCTACACAGGCTGGAAGTTTGTCGGTCTGGTAGCGAATCACCCTGTATATTTCGTAATTACTGCATGGTAACCACACATTTTGAAGTTAATAAATATAAACTAGAAGTATACAATGAAATTTCTCATGGTGACCATTTATCACAGACAGCTATCTCTGGTAGTGGAAGAAGTTTTGAAAATACAAAATTAATGTCAGTATCAAATATTATCTCTGAAAAATATTTTAACAATTTGGTAACAATAGTCTAAATTGAGATACTGAATGAAATCTCAGTTGAAGACATTTTCATTATGCGTTACTGAAAGTACTTTAAGCTATGTTATAGGCGAAGATTGCAGTAAAATTAATAAAATTTCAAAAACTTTCATTAAAAGAGTTAATACACATATCAATAAAAAGATCAAAAATTTTTATCAATTTTAAAAAGTATCCTTTTTTTTGAATTCACAATCATAACAGGACATTTTCTACCTTTATCAGATATACCTTGCATTATTTTACGTAAAGAGTTTGTAATCCAAGCAATAATCACTAGCACATTTTAAATCTCCTCCTCCATTTAGTTTGAAGTGTTGCTTATCATGGATTTCTAAGTTCTTGTTTAAATATATGGAACTGAAATATCTCTTGATATTAATATATATATGTGGCAAACAAAAAATTTGATAGGACACTCACATGAAAAAATAAATAAAAAATAAAGAGTTTTCAACAATTGAATCACTATATTTGTTTATTACATTACAATTCAATGGAACATTAATATTATTTTATTTTGCAAAATGTAAACATTCCCTCTGAAATCTAATTTCAATTAATTTTAAAACACTCCTATAAAATAATCTGGAAAGTATAATAATGAAAGGTTATTAATCAGGTTTAAAACATTCATTAGCTGAAAGAAAGATTTCTGTTGAAATGTTTCAATATTTAATGTAAGATGTCTTCCAAGCTGTCATATGCTGTGTTCGGTGTCTGAAAGAGTATTGCTTGGCAGCATTGTTTTACATCAAGCAGATTTTGGCTTTAGTGTAACCCTAAAGCTATTTCGTTTTTGCCTTATTAGTATGTATGATTTTTGACTTGAGATAAGAGCATATGGTTGCTCACTTTTAGATAAGTTACATAGATCAGTAACATGTGTTGCATAAGCACATGCGTATGCTAGTATTCAATAATGTTGTTTTTGTTAAAATAAACTTGTTATTGTTAATATTACAGTCCATTTACTGAAGTTAAGTTTCATTAAATAAGTTCGAGCTATCTTTGGCAGGAACATGCTGCATTAGTTCTTTTAGGAAAGAAATATATTTCATTGTTAGATCTTTCATAATTTCTTCTAACTAATTTTTGTTTTGCAATTAATTTTCAACTTGTTGACCCAAAATATGGAATAGGACTTAAATATTTATCTAACATTCTGGTGCAGATATTAATTTTTTGCCAGGAATGAGAAGTTTGCTATTTGGGAATATTATTGGAAGTATCAAATGAATTTTTTTTCCCCTCCCCTTGCTTGAAATGTAATTGGAATGGTATTCATTTCAAATGAAATTGGTTGTAAAGGTAAGTGTGTAAATATTTTATACATCTAATGTATTGTAATTGGATTGCAATATAGCATTTATAGTAGAGCAGGTTACATTGAATTCTAAGCATATCTAACTGCTGCCAAATTCATGCTACATTAGTTTTAATTAATAGCCATCTCATCTGATTTATGAAAATTTTAATTATTCATTTACATTATTTACCATACTATGAAATTGTCTGTATTAGGTATAACACATTTCAGAATATGCTAACTAGTTAAATTTCATGCATTAAATATTCTAAATATTATCATTAGTCTTAGATGTTGTATGTCACTTCAATAATTTGGATGTCATTTATAATTTTAACACTTGTGAAAACACTTGTCATTTAACATTGTTAACATACTAAAATATTTAAAACTTTAAAATTATGAGTTGTTTGTCACTCATAATTTTAAAAAATGGCAACCACTTTGTATTCTTATGAGTTACCAAGAGTACCTTATTCTCATCACTTCATATGAGTTACCAAATTTGAAGGAGTAAGTCTGAATCGTATGTCAATACAAAAAGTTTCAAACAAGATACTTTACTTAAAAACAAAATTTATTACGTTGAATAAAATCAAGAGTATGCCATTTTGAAGATCAAAAATAGGTGCATGAATTTATATTTCACTATGAGCTTGGTTTGGTTTATTTGATTATAGCAAAGATGGCTATCTGCCTAAAGGGAGAGGTGCCTTCATGGAAAACTTTCTATGGAAAAGTGACGCATATACATATTACACAGGGGAAAACCACAAAAATGTCCATGCAGCCAGTCCATTTGCAGACTGAACTACAAGTGCTCGATGTACCATTAGACCGCTGGTGGGCTATTTCACTGTGAGACTTCTACTCATATGAGCACAATGGCTCAATTCAAAATTTGCTCTTTATTCCAGTACATTAGAAAAATTATACTTATTATTTTCAAAAGTTTTTGCAGATATTGAAATTGGCAAAATGATTTTTAAAAGTTTAAAATTTTGAAAACTATTTTAGTAATCCATATAAAAAAGTGTAGAACATCTGTTACAATTTAAACTGACTAATATGATAAACAACAGACAAGCAAAACTGTTAAAGAAAGTAAAATAAAATGTAGAAAGCTTATGTCTGCGATTTTAGACAATCTATAATACAATACAGAGTAGTGGTGACTCAGTACAGTTTTTAAGAGCCTAAATTAGTTTTCAGCCCTTGAGTCAGTCATGGGGACTTTGTAACGATCTTTAATCTTCTATCCTCCCTTTTTTATAAAATACTCTTAGTAGCATCAGAAATTTTGTATCTTTAATTTCTTTATATCTAGAAGTGACAATTTTTTTTTTATTTCAGTTTAAGATGTCTTATATAATATAGTTCTTTTGAACTTGTCTTTTAAATAAGAAACCAGAATACTTTTAATAGTATCAGTTTGTATAGTGTAATGCAATTTTAAACCATAAGCAGGTTTACTGTCCTTCAAGATGTTTTGGCACACCATTAAAAAAAAAATAATAAGTATTGCTATATGAGCATTTTCTGCAATACATAAACATGATTTGCTAATGCTCCTTTTGCTTCATTAATGGTAATAAAAGTTTCATAAAGCATTGCTCATTGTTGGTGCACATACTTAAAATAATTTGTATGCTGCTTCTGAGTGTTTGTGCTTTTTAAAAATTTGATTATTTGGGAGTTGAGTACACAAACTTTTATTGCTGTCTCCAGAATTTTTCTGCAAGCTAAGCTTTCAATTGTAAATCAGATAACCATTGTTTGTGAATTTGGGGCATACGGGCATTTACCTATACTTCAGTTTAATTTAATTGAAATTAACTCATCTTCATAAATTTGATGAAGAATTTAAAAGAAATTTTTTGTAAAATGAAAACAACAGTATTCAAAGGTCACAAAAAATTAAGAAGATATTATTTTAAAGATTAGCATACTTACTTAATTGTACCAAGAAATTTAATGAAAACGAAATAATTGAGTAACAAGCGCTGCAACTAAACAGATATGTAGAAATGCAATGCTAAATTTGCCATTTTCTCCAAGAAATATGTATTCTAAAGCAAATTGTAAAAATTCACTTTTGTAGAATTAATGTCCTTAAGAAATAAATGTTTTAGGGACATCTTTTTAACTTAGTTTTTCTTAAGAAGACCAATTTGTGAGATGAAGTAAGAAATGAGATAAATTCTTTGTTCCGGATTCTTAGGGGGGAAAAAACATTTTATTTTTTGTCTGAGAAAAATTTTACGATTGTTTTATTGTCCTTCTGGATAGAAATCTGGATGTATTCTCTTGTTTTTCTCGAAACAGATCAAATATCTAATGGATGCGCATGTGAGTTTTCTGTTGTATTCATTAATAGCAGTCCTTGCATATGTATGCATAAATTTCAAATAGGCCCTTTGAATTTAAGGTGTGATAGTGTTCCACACAGCACAGTATTCTAGGGAAAATACAAGAATATTTCAGTCTTACAGTCACGTACTAGAATATAAATGAAATATCCTATGTCAGTCTGTTTTCATATGCCAGGAATACTTCAGAAATTGAAAATTTGGGTTATAATTAGAAAGTTGTTACCTTGTCAATATGTATAGGTTTTCTTTGGGTTTGCTTATAATAAAGCATTCCAACTCGTTCTTTTTCAAGGCTTGGCATGTTTTTTTAAGAAAAGACAAAATAGTTTTTGTACTGAATGCTCATAAACTGATGTTGCCTGAAATGCTGATAGAGTATTTCTAATAATGTTAATTAATTTCCACATTATGACTAAATCTTTTAATGATTACACCTGTGTAGAAATTGTCTAGGAAGTTGGATATGAAATTGGTCTGTATTATAAGGGCTGTTTTAATTTTACTCCTTCATATGGGGGGGGGAAGAAAAAAAAAAACATCTGCAATATTCTAGCAGTTCGGGAAACTATGCACCAATGTGCAGCTGTATGTAATCTTGTGAGGATTCTGTGTGAAAAACTTCAACTCCAAGATTAGAGATGCCATTAAATCTTTCAACTTTACTTATCCAGTTTTATGCTAATATATTTCCCGAGGAGTTGTTTTCAGTAAACATTTTCCTGCGATTTGTATTTAATATCTTTTATTTTTGACTATTAAGCGCATAGTTGTGTAAATGTGAAAAGCATCATTAGTTGTGTACGGTAATTTGAAAATCAAAGTAGCAGCTGGCAAGTAGTGTATACGTAGGCTACCTGACTAGAATACATTTATAAATATTGTTGGGTGAAAAAGCAATTATTTTTTCAAAGTTCAGCAGTCAGGAGTGATTTAAGTATAAAGGTCAGTGATGGAACATTTACTATTTTCAGTAGTAATTAATTTTTTTATATAACATTATAAAATAAAATGAAATTACTTCTTAATTTTATTAACAAGAATACAAATTGATGCACCTCTGGTTTCATAGAAATCAGTCAGGTGTCTTTCTGGCACTTGATTACAACAGGCAAGATCAAATCAGCTTCACCCACTTTCTCAGTAGGCATCTTAGATCTTTGACATTTTTTAGAATTCCAAGAGTTTTGAGGTCTGCACCAAGTGTTCTTCTCAGCAGACTTCCCTGATCATATTCTTGCTTGTCTGGGGCTCTCTAGGCAGGATCTTATTGACAATCCATTGTTGGTTTTGGATTTCTTTAGAGTGCACAATGTCATGGATCTGATTTAGCCCTGCTTTTCTTTGGGTATGATCAACAACAATAACAGTAATAAAGTGGAGTGAAAAATTTGAAATTTTAGGTAATTTACTGGTGAAATAAACTTGTTCAAAAATTAAAATTTTTTACATATAAAATAAAGGAACAAATGAAAAATGCTAGAATTTTGAGGTGAATAATTTTAAACATTTAATTCAATGTTTTACTCGAGTTTTTTTATAGAATATTTTAAATGGAATTTAGTAGAAGTATATACTAGTTTGCTTTTAAAATTACTGCAAGTTTCAGATCAGTATGCAGTATTTTGCTGTGTCTAATTTAACAGCATATTTTAAAATTTTTACTTTTAATATTTATGTAACTTTTTAGATTTCCACCCCCCCCCTGAGATTTAGCCAGTTTTGTGGATTAAGGAAACTTTCATTAAATGAATGCTAAAACAAATAGAATATTTGAGTCATTTTATTGGCCCAAAAGGGTAATTAGTCTTAAAACACAATTTTGCATTAATTCACTTTAAATGCTGTCCAAATGTAAATGCATTCTTTTTCTTTTTATTCAAGTCTGTTGCCATTTGGCAAAATGTAAAATACTTATCCTTCAAATTCAATCTGTCTGCTATGGATTAACAAACAACGTTACTCATAAGCAATAGATGCAGTTCTTAAGAATATTATGTTTAAATTTGTAATCTGATTTATTTAAATAAAAATGCATTTAATTCATAATACATCCAATTAAAATATTCCTATTGATAATCGCTACTCATACACCACATTAAACTTTTTTGGCGACCGCTAAAATTTTAACCCTTTGAAAAATTTATTGTGTAAATAAATGTAAAACAAGTGAAATTAAAAAGTAATTTAATAATAATAATATACAAACGAAAAATGTTTTCATTATTTTAATCAACAAAATGTCGTTCTCTGCCTGATAGAGCAATAAAATAAATTTAAAGAACAAGATAAAATAAATGATTAAATAAACGAGATTAAGTAAATGAAGTTAACTTAAAGAAGAAGGCATAAATAAAATCAAAGAGCAAGATTTAAATAAAGTGAGAGATAAAACAAAATAAGACTTAAATGAAGTTAAATTAAACAACAGCTTCCACACTGTGTTTCTTTGTAATTGGATGAAATTCTCTGACTTTCTGGATCATAATTCGCTTTAAAAGATACGAAATCAGGAATATCCACAGATTGCTGGTTATAAGCATAGTATTCGTTTTTCAATAGCTGTGTAGTATCAGTTGGTTTCTTCCAAACGTAAAAAGTTATTTTTGTTTTGCTTTGACTTGTATAACCAAATCGAGTGCGGCTGAAACGCGCATCCTCATAGTCATAGTGGAGAAGAGGACCAAACGCAAGTTGCATGTTGCATTCAGATGCAACTTGCGAAATCATTTCATGAAAACCTCCAGAGGCATTGTCAATGAATATTAAGAGAGCTCCAGGTTTCATGCATCCAAATATATCCTATAAAAAATGTAAGAGATACTTATTTGACAAATTCATTATACAAGCCTTTGAAAATAATGGCTACAGGCTTTACTTCCTTAACTATTAATCTTAAATATGTACTTCCAGTCACAAAATTTGGGGAAAAAAGAGGGGGGGAATAATTGTAGGAAACCAGTTTCAGCTCTGAAAATAGAATTATTCTGTTAATGCATAAAAGCGAAATTTTTTATATAATGAACAACATTTAAAATGTAGACTAAAATGTTCATTACATTTTAATAAGGTAAACATGAACAATTTCTACTTTTATATGCAAAATCTGCCAATTTATATTTACATGAGAACAGCTAACGGAACCAACTTATTTTCAGCTTTTCGTTGGGTATTCTTTTTTGCTCACTGTGAAACCATTAATTAATAAAATGAGTTATTTTTGTTTTGTGTACTCTTTTTAAATCCGATGAAAATTTGGGTGAATCTTCGGATTATGGTAACTTGGCAATTTTTTGGCGAAAATTTGGCGACCAACCCTGCTACAGCAACCTGCTAGTTTTTTTTTTGGGGGGGGGACGCCATTTTGTTTTCACGAAGTAAAGGCTTTTTTTTAGTCCAAAGGGATTTCAGTCCCGAAGGACTATTGCTTTCGTTTTGGCGTTTTGCGTCGGACTCATAAACGTCGGTTCACTTTTCAAACTGTTGCCACAAAATGTTAGAGTCCTACATTATATTTGAAGAAATTAAATAATGAAAAATCTGCATAAATGATTGTCTATTTCTCGCATTGTGATAAAACAATGGTACATAGAGCCATCGAATTTTGAATGACGAAATCCTACTGCGAATATGGGCATCTGAAATCCCAAATTTGGAATTTGTTTTATTATAGATTTTATATTTTGTAAAACTTTAACGAATTTTTGATTTACACAAACTCAATGCTTTAAAAGCGAGAAATGGCAACGTTATATTAAAAAAAAAAAAAATACTTCTATCTCCAGCTCGCGAGACTGTGTATATCGGAAATTCTAAAGATATGCTTAATTTAACATTATTTGCGATATTGCTCTTGAACTGAATTTTATGGTTTAAGTGCAAAGAACATGATATTTAATAAATAAAGGTAACACTCAAAACGTTAAAAAAACGCCCCTTTGGACGTAATTTAAAATCTGAAAAAATTTTTTTTTTTTTTTTTTTTTTTTTTTTTTTAAACTCAACGTTTTTTCTAACAATCTGCTAGCCGAATTACGCTTATGCTAGAACTTTTATGGAACAAAAGTGCTTAATCATGACGAAGATTAGGTGCGAAATTGGGAGAAAGTGCAGAATCGCCCACTGCTGTTTTTAAGAATTGCGCATACGCGATATCCATGTAGATACCAACCTCGACCTATTTCACTTAAAAAAAAAAAACATCTCAGAATTGCACAAAAATGCCATTGAGCACACGCTTGACTTTATCCATGTACACATAGACTTATTTTCACTTAAAAAGTCAAAGAAAATTGTCAAAAATCCAATTCTTCCTACTCTTGTAAAAAGCGCCAAACAAATAAGTGGGCAGTTCTGCGCTTTAGCAGCGAAATTGTTTCTAAGTTCTTATTAGCTAAAATCACGATCAGAATTTTCCGGAAAATGTCACATGACATGTCTCATGATCTCTCATTTCTCTGAGACAAAATAATCTGTGATTCGAACTGTATACTTCTCAGATTATTGCTAAAGTCCTACCTGGTAACCTTTATCGCCTTACCAAAATGTCGCCAAACTACCTGCTACCATATTCCAAAGATTAGCCAATTTATTTGAAATAACATAAAAAGAATCCTTGAGAAATAATTTAAATCAATAAATTTGTTCTGTAGAATTTATGTTATTAAAGAATAATTTAAAACTATAAATTTTCGAAAATTTTGCGTGCAGAATTATGGAATTTTTTTGCTTTGAAAATTGTAATTCTGTACCTGATTTTGAAAAGCTCTGTGACTGGAAGTGTATATATAATATCAGTGTTTAAAAAATAAAGCTGGTCGCTTACTTTTATGAACACTATTTCATAAAAGGTTGTTTAACTTTAATTACCGGAATTTCTGCATTCCACGGGAAAATTCTTTACATACTGTTGAATATAAATTGTTAACAGGAAAAATAAGCGTCAATTGATAAAATAATTTATAATAATTATCATTTATAAATTGTATGCTGCGATATTTAACTGTTCAATTAAATAAAAATTAATAGTTAAGACTTCTGCTCTTGTAATCTGATAATTCCTTGTTCTATCTCAATTTAAAGAACACGTTTTGAGGCACAAATATGAATTCAGACCTTTGTGCAGAAACACATTATTACTTACAGAAATGAAGTTATGAAACACAAACACCATTTTCAAAATATTTTTTGACTTAATAAATGTGTTACAACTTTTCTTGAAATCTAACTGTAAGCTTTTAAAACAACACATTTTAGTAAATTGAGTTGCTATTCACCTAATGCCTTTTCATTTGTAATTATAATTAAACATTTTGGATGGTCTAAAAATGTCCTTGCCTGTTCAAATTAGGTATAGTTTGTAAATTTTTTGGAGGAAGTTGGAAGCATGGATCTTCCAGTTAGCAGTTAGGTGCTAACCAACTGGCAACTACGCACACGCAAGAAAAATGTGTTAATTATTTACTCTTCTTCTATAAGAGCAGTAAAATTATGATATGAAGAGTTCCCCTCTTCAGACGTAAAATCAAAACGGAGGGGGGGGGATTTATGCTAGAATTTTAATAAAATGTACATCAGTCTAAGGGTTTCTTCCCCCCCCCTCTTACGTATGTGTGGAATATAATATTTTACATTCGCTGGTTTCTGTTCCATACCGCTAAAGGCTGCGAGTTGCGGTTTTGATGGAGGGTTTCAACAGCAATAAATTGTAGTTAGGTTTGTCTTTGATAAATGGGCTGTTAAAAATTATTTATTCTGTTAAAAGGGTTGTGACATAATTTGTAATAAAATAAAAAGGTCGACTGAGGGCTATATATAAATGTCATTTGTTACTTACTATAAAGCTCAGCAAAGAGTTGAAATAGAGATGGATTTGCAAAACTGGAATCATGGCATATCAAAGCGTATTGAATCGTCTCTGTTTGTGAGAATTCACTTCACATTCGATAAATAACAGAGTTAAGTGAGAAATGGAAATATTTGTAATATATGAAATGTAGAATCTCATACATTATTTGTGTTGTGCACCCGGGACAACAAGAATGAGACAAATTTTGGAATATGAAGTGATACGTTTATTTTATCATCCATCTCACAAGCGTTCCCTCCTGTACCTCGAGGAGAAGCCCTATTTATAGATATGTGTGCGTCGGTAATGGTATTTAATTATGGCAAAGAACACGAGGGCTATCTGCCTAAGGGGAGGGATGCCTTCGTGGAGGACTTTCTAAGGGAAACTGGCTCGTATACACGTTACACATGGGGAAAACCACGAAAACGCCCATGCAGCCAGCCCATTCGCGGAATTCGAACCTCGAACCGAACTACCAATGTTCAACGACTGTACCTCTTGGCCGCTGGTGGGCCCATATGTGTGCGTCATGCTGCTCATCCTATCAGCGATATTAATTGAAGTCACAAGGTGACGCTATCTTCTCATCAGGAGTTTTCTTAAGGACTTTATGTAATACGACAGATTTATGAGTTTGGGGATTTGGCGGACGTCAACAGGTTAATATAATTTATAATCAAGAAAGGATTTCGCCAAATTGAGGAACAGGGATGCAATTTAGGTAGAGAATCGCCAACACATTATTAAGCAATGTGATTAGAATTTAATTTAATTAATTGATTTAAAAATCAGCATATTGCGCAAAAGTTTTTGACCAAAATTGGTCTTTTTAGTATTGTACTTACAACCTAGATTATAATATTACAGATATATATATAAGTATAGACAAACAATAAGAAATTTAGAACCAATTCCAAAAAGACCCCAAAAAAGTGAAATTCAATACCAGTAAATTTCCAATTTCCTTATAAATATGTAAAATTAACCAAAATCAGAAAAATTAAAGAAATGTGAAATACTAAAACCTTAAACAACACAAAAAAGAAATACAAACAAAGGAACAGATAAGCAATCAAATCTGATATAAAGTTATGAAGAGAAGGTGCATCAGACTCAGTTGAACCCCCTGTATTTCTACATTTTAATTTCAGTTTTGTTTCAATTTTAACCTTACATTCTGAGAAAAAAATATACATAATTGCTTACTTAATTTAACTTTTTGATTTTTTTCATTTGGATGTGATTAGAATATTTCTCTTGCTTCTTCGTCCACTGAGTAAATTTTAAATTCATGTTCTCTTTTATTTTATTAGTACAGTCAAAAGTCGTTAATCCGGACTCGTCGGGACTTCGGCGATTCCGGATTATCGATTTTTCCGGATTATAGATCATCAGTTTAAATCTCGTAAGATGGCATGCAGAAATTCTAAAATTAAAAGTATGAAACCGTAATTATGAAATATAAAGAACAATTATGATCTAAAGGGTATCAAATTTGCAAAAAGAAAAAGCTTAATATTTATTGTTTACTTTATTAAACATTTCTTTCAATGTACGTTGTTTAAGTTTTGCTTCGTTTCATGTGATAATACTTTCTCTTTAATTCTATTAAACAGACATAATTTCTTGTTCAGTTACAAAGTTCCGCTGTTCAAGTCCTATAATTGCTGTGTCGAGAATACTGACTAATTTGTCAATCGAAATTTTTTCGTTTTCAATAACCTCTGTCACTTTCTTCGCTATCGGAAGCGAATTATAATGACGAGGAACTTGTTTTAAATCATATCAAAGACGGAGTATATCGAGATGAAATACTACATTTGATAAGGAATTATAAGCCAAATAAAATAAAAACATCTGCCCTGAAGATAAGGACAGTGCTGAGAGATCAACTTCCAATTCATTACGCGCATGCCGCGGCGTTGGCCCCGCTGAGCAGCGTGAAATTGAT